ACACGTGTGGTGCTGCTGATACCCAGCCAGTCACGGCTATTAACACCACCTAGGCCCCAGCCCCACCATGCTGCAGTTTCAGGCCAAAACCTGCTTCCCTCAGCCTGCAGCACAGACGTGAATGGAAAGTGGACAACTTAGACAAGCTGTCCTCTTGGAAGGATCCCAGGGGACCACCTGCACCCTCTTGGGATAGGGATGGTGCCTCACTCGGCGAGAAAGATGCTCTTCTTGAAGTAGTCATGGCACAGGGCTGTCTGCTGCAGACTCTCAAAGGTGAGACCCAGGTTGAGGTAGAGCCGAGCCCGCATCTCACTCAGCTCTCGCTGGGTCAGTGTCCCTGGAAGACAACAGCTCTAGGAACTCAGCTGCCTCCTCTGGCTATGGGGCTGTCAGGTCCACCCAGCCTTTATCCCATCTTGTATTGAGGGAACCAGCAGTCTGCTGCAGAGAGTATACATAGAAATAGCAGATGCTGCCGGGCAGTGGTGGAGCACGCCTTTAATCCCAGCACTCGGGAGGCAGAGGCAGGTAGATCTCTGTGAGTTCGAGGCCAGCCTGGTCTACAGAAAGAGTTCCAGGACAGGCCCTGAATCTATAAAGAAACCATGCCTCAAAAAAACAAAAAACCAAAACAAACAAACAAACAAAAGCAGGTGCCTGACAGGATCAAGTTGGTAAGCAACAAAGTCCCTGGAAAGTAAGGGCCCAGAAAGCAGGATATGGGAAGAACCCAGGGAAGGGGCACCTACCCTCTAGTTTCTCATCCACAATAGCTAAGCTCTTCTCAAAGGCAGCCTGTGCCTGAAGTAAGGCATCTCTTGCCTGGCAGTGATCATACACATCTAGATGGGTGCGGCCAATGGTGGCCCAGGCTCTCTGCAGCTCAGTGTGGTTGGACAGGGAAGCAGCCAAATCCAGGTAGAGATGCTGGTGCTAGCATAGGAAGAGAAAGTTTTGAAATAATCCCACTTCACGCAAACCCAGAAATCTGACCCCAGGGGAAGCTACCCTTGTACAAGAGAACCTTCTGTTTCCCGAGTTTCGACGGAGTTTAGTTGTACACACTGTCGCATCTTTTCTGCACCAGGGACTGTCTATGATGACAACTGCTCTGCCCTGGAGCCAGACCACTAAGGACAGCCTGGAGTGTTGCTCCCAACAGCAATGGGTCCTGATTCTTCCTCTTCCCACAGAGCAAAAACCACAGTTCCTTAAAAGTTCAGTTGTCACAAACCCATTCATGCTCCAGTCCCCTACCAAGAGCCAGGCAGCACCCGAAGCAGACATAACGGTATGGCTGACAACCATGTCAGCTACTGTGGGATGCTTATTTGCATACCGACCCTCTCCACAACAAGAAGACACACCCCAGAAGTGCAGGCCCTCTACCTTCAGGGCAGCTGAGTAATTCTCCATCTCTGCCAGCCGTTCTCCGATCTTGCGGTGGGCCACTGCGCAGCCTAGGGTGTCCTGGACGCTCTCTAGCAGATGTAACTCCTGCTGGTGCTCCTCCAAAGCTTCCTTGAAGCGGCCTGCCGGAAGAGGGGAATGGAGTGCTCACGGTGCGACATCATCCAGCCATCCCCAGCCACCACTCCTCGCCCGCTGCGGCTCACCGTGGCCAGCCAGCAGCTCCCCCAGCTGGTGGCAGTAGACGGCCTCCTCGCGCAGTTGCCCATTCCTCTGGGCCCTGGCCTTGGCCTTGTTCAGCTCTGCCGGGAGGAAGAGAGGATCAGGATTAACGCGGGAACCGATCCGCACCCTGTGCTCCGCACGCCCCAAAGTACTCACGGCGAAGCTCCTGCTCCAGGGTCATAGTTACACAGCCACTATACCGCCGCGGAAATCTGGACTTCCCGCGCTTCCCTGGGACCACGCCCACTTACTTTGCTCCACCCACAATACGCAGGCTCCACCCAGTCTTCTGCGCGCATGTCTAACCCTGCCCCTTTGGTGGTAGACGTGCAGTAGCGCTTGATGGAACCGGTAGTTCGACCCTAGGCCTCCTGGGAGTTGTAGTCCGACGGGCTCAGGCAAGGTGCCATCAGGTAGCGGAATTTGTGTTGGGCCTTCTAAGCCTTCTAGGCGGCAGGCACAGTGTGGGCGCCCAGGCAGTCGGTGTTCTTATTTACAGACCGCTTCGGGTGGGTTCCCAGGACTACAGCCAGTATGTGGCTGCTGGCTGGGGGCACTGGGGCACTTGAGGCACTGACCGTGCTGTCCTGGAGTCTACCTGCCTGTCTATTACAGGTGTTATGTAATGCTGCCTTCACTTCCTCTAGAAATTAAAGCACACACAACCTGTTTATATTTGAAAAACTTTTTTGTTTTTGTTTTTCAAGACAGGGTTTTCTCTGTAGCTTTGGAGCCTGTCCTGGAACTAGCTCTTGTAGACCAGGTTGGCCTCGAACTCACAAAGATCCGCCTGCATCTGTCATGCTGAGGTCAAAGACTTATGCACCATACCTAGCTTGTAAAGTTTACCTTAAAAATTTTTAATTATTATTATGTGCATGGATATTTTGCCTGAGTATCTGTGTACCATATGTATGCCTAGTGTCCATGGAGGCCAAAAGAAGGCATGACCTAGAAATGGTGGTAAAGGGGGCTGGAGAGATGGTTCAGTGGTTAAGAGCACTAGCTGCTCTTCCAGAGAACCCAGGTTCAATTTCCAGCACTCACATGGCAGCTCAAAAGCTATCTAACTCCATTTCCAGGGGGATCCAACACTCCCACACAGACACACATGCAAGCAAAATGTCAATGCACATAGAGTAAAAACAAAATAAATCGTTGTAAAAAAAATCTAGCCAGTGATGGCACATACCTTTAATCCCAGAACCCAGGAGACAGAGGCAGGTGGATCTCTCTCGATGAGTTCAAGGCCAGATCTACAGAGTGAGTTCCAGGACAGCCAGGACTTCACAGAGAAACCCTGTTCTGAAAATCCAAAACAAGCAATACTATACAAAGAAATAGTTGGGAATGAGGACTTTATGGAACTGTCAGATGCCCTGGGGAAAGGACAGAAGGTCTCCAGACTGAGGAAGGGGAGGAATGTGCTTTCTGAACTAAACAGAAAGTTTCTTTATGTGGGTGTTGGTATTCCCAGAAGATGCAATACACGTGAAAACTGCATAGCTTTGTATTGAAAGACATTGAGTTACATTCTAGGCTGGAAAACTGAAACCAATACAGATTCTTCACCTGCAAAAGGCCTGGAACTGTCCTTGGAATCCTGTGATTTGGGGTACTCTGTTCCCCATTACGCTGAAGGCCAAGCACTTGCTGTGAGATGGAGCTCTCACCCCTGGCTATGAGGCAACCTCAACACTCAGCATCTACCAGACTGTGCACTGAGGGTCCCAGTGAAAACAGTGCAGAGCCCACAAAGCCATAGGAGTGGGATAGAGAGTAGAGGAGAGGAGTCTGTCTTTCTTTCTCTCTTTCTTTTTTTTTTTTTTTTTTGGTTTTTTGAATCAGGGTTTCTTTGTAGTTTACAGAGATCCGTCTGCCTCTGCCTCCTGAGTACTGGGATTAAGGCATGTGCCACCACCACTACCATCCAGCTGAGTCCTAGGGTCTTTTTCTTTTTTTGGTTTTTGGGACAGAGTTTCTCTGATTAGCCCTGGCTGGCCTTGAACTCAGAGATCTGCCACTTCCCAGGCACACTGGAATCACAGGCCCGCGTCCACCGTCCACCACACTAGTCAGCAGATAAGTGTGTCTTCTATTGTAATGACAACAGTGGGAGCACACACACCTTTAATCCTGGCATTTGGGAGGCAGAGGCAGGTGATGTCTTTGAGTTCAAGGTCCTCCTGGTCTATACATTGAGTTCCAGGACAGCCAGGGCTACTTAGAGAGACCCTATCTCAGAAAACAAAGCAAACAAACAAACCAAAACCAAAACAGCAGAGAAAAACCAAAAGAAAACCAAGCAACCAACCAACCAAACCTCAAAACCATGGAGTAGAAGACCCAGCTAGGGACAGATGGTAACAGCTGCTGGGAAGAGAGTGATACTGAAGGCAGATATAGGCCTCAGAATGGCCCCCTGACCCCGCTGACCCTATCAGCCACCTGCTGCAGGCTGGGGCTGGGCAGGTCTGGGCCTTGCTACCTGAAGGCTGCAAGGATGTGGTGAGATCTTTCTTCTGGAGTTGTGTCTGGTGAAAAGGAAAATCGGACACAGGTAGACCTCCTGAAGGACAGCTGTTGGACTAGGTCGTGATTGATGGGTCTCAGGATGTCAGAACAGCTACAGAAGTCAGTCAGCCCTTTTCCCATCCAAAGCATGCATGTCTCTAAAATTAAGTCTACTGCCTAGCGGGCAGGCTGGTGAGGGACACTGTGAAAGAAGGGTGGAGTGGGAGGAAGGGATAGAATCAAGAGGCTTAAGACGTGGAGTGGAGCTGGGCGATGGTGGCGCACGCCTTTAATCCCAGCACTCGGGAGGCAGAGGCAGGCGGATCTCTGTGGGTTCGAGACCAGCCTGGTCTACAGAGCTAGTTCCAGGACAGGCTCCAAAGCCACAGAGAAACCCTGTCTTGAAAAACAAAAAAACAAAACAAAACAAAAAAAAAAAAAATAAGACATGGAGCGGGCCCCAAGGCTGTTGGGAAGACCACGAATCGCTTTCTGTCCAGCCCTAGGATTCATAAAATAGGAGCCTGTTGAGATCCAGCTGCTCTACTGTATGAAGTATTGTGGGAAAGTTTCCTCAGACCGTGCCTTGCCCTGGAAGGCTGTATTTTACAAGCATCTTTAAAAAACTATTATTATTTGGAGGGCACACATGCCATGGCACGAGTATAAGTCAGAGACAACTTTGTGGAGCCAGTCTCCCTTTAGAGACAATCCAGCTTCTCTATCCGGGTGCTTCACAGGACTGGAGGCCTGGGGATGGGATACAGGCTGATGAGCAAGGCAGGCTAGCAGAGCACAGGAAGCCCCACCCTGAGGCTGTCTTCTGGTAAGGAAACACAGACAAAACATGGTTTGGAATTATTTTTTTAACTACAGGTACATACAGAAAATACTCAAAGAAAATGCAAACGGCAGAACTGACATGTAAGTCATTTCCAACAATCATAAAAACACTTCTTGCTCTGCTCATTAGAAAATTATTTTTATTGTTTTGTAAATGTCTCACTTTGGGCAAATGTGGTGCTCACAGGAAGTGGGGATGAGACAGGCGGAGGGGGGAGGCCTGGCTTGGCCTATGCAACCCCCTCTGGCAGCCTCCCCAACACCTACTGAGGCTGAACCCCTCTCCCATCCTCAGAGACAACAGAAAAAGAGCCAGGTTAGGACAGCAAGATAACAAGACTCTGGACACAAGCCTGGAGATATGGTGCTCCCCCCCCCCCAAGAGCTCATAGTGACGATGCTGAAGGTCTGTATGCCAGTCCCTAGCAGAGCCAAGAGACATACTAGTCTTCTCCATGTCTGGTTCCTCTAGGTTAGAAGGCTCAACAGCTGCACATGTCATAGTGTAGCGGCCACACCGAGCATGTCACTAGGAGGCTGCTGTAGTCCTGGGAACTCTTGGACACCCCCACCCCTAGGTGGATCTCAGCTGGGTATGGCCCCAGCCCTACCTGTGCCTTGGGGTATGCCTTTCATCTCCACAGATACCCAGAGCTCAACTGTTGTCTCTGAGCCCCTGCCAGCCCAGCTTCACTCTCATGCACAGCGTCCCTGCTGGCTTGTGCCCGTGGGGGAATAAGCCTCCTATCCTGTTTCTCCCCAGGAGACTTTCAGGCTACCTTCTGTGAATCAGTCTCTCACACATCTAGACACAGGTTATTAGGGCAAGCTGGCCTTGCCCTGCCTTTTCATACTAACACCTTAGAATCTAGAGGGACTTCTAGAGGAGCCTCCTCTGTTTTCCAAAGATCCTCTATGCCTGATAGCTGAGCAGGCTTGAGAGGCTGCCCCTAAAGGCAGAGAAAATCAAGGAGCTGCATCTGCTCCCATAGATGTGCTGGGATCTGGCATGGGGTCCTTCATAGTAGGCAGAAGCCAAATATTGGCCTTCTTACCCCTCCCAGCCTGGTCATGTTTGCAGGAGAACTCCCACAAGCCCCATGCAGGAAGCCAAACAGATGCTGAAAACCTCTCAGCCTATGAGAAGGCAGAAGGGCCACACTGGCCGTATTCAGGAAAACAGATGGGACCTATACCTCGCGTCACAGTTCCTTCTCTTCATTTCTCAGCTCTTTGCCCTCTTGAAGGTCAGGATGGGTGGAACATTAGTACTTGCACCCACATGGCCAAGACTACCCTGTCCCTTAACTTGGACGGTACAGGACAGTTCAGGCCCAGGCAGTTTGCATGGGATGGTGGGAACTACTTTGAGGCATGTGGAGGTCTGGTTAGGGCAGAGGAAACCGGTTCTTTGGTATTAAAGCAACAAAAAGCTATGATAGAAGAGCCTCATCTCCTAAGCAAAGACAGAAGGAGGCAAGTCCTACCTTTCTCAGTATCTCTGAGGAACCCAAGGAAGAGAGAATCGGGGCCTAGCCCTATCCAGCGTGGCTGCTTCATATTCTGTGAGGCCCTAATACTTGTCCTGCTTACAACCACAACTCAGAGAATCTGTGAATGGCCCAGCAAGGGGAAGGCCGACCTTGCCTAGGCGATAAACCATGCTGCTCTGCCTTGGTCCTGCAGTGCCCCTGCCACCATTAAATGCAGGTCTCACAGACAAGGGCTGCCTCCTTGGCACCCTGAGGACACCTGGCCCTCTATGCTGAGTTAAGCGAATGGGTTATTTCTCGCTAAAATCACATCACTTAAAGAGCCTGTAGAGTTTCATTTTTTCCTCGAAGAGACAGAATTTCACCCTGCATTCCGAAAACATTTGCTGAGCCCTACTAGCCAAGTCCTGCTTCCTCTGAGTGGCAGCTGGGGAAGCCCAACCCTCTGGCTCACTGGCCAGGCTTTAGTCCCAACCTCTGATAAGACTGTGGGGGAGGCAGTGTCTCTTAAGTCTCTCCTGGGGTGCACACATAGGTGCAGTATCAGGGACAGGACAGGTTCTGACCACTGGGCCAAACCAAATCTCCCATGAGGTCCATTCACAGCCACACCTTCCCCTCCAACAAAACAGAAAGTAGGAAACAAGGCTGCCTTTTTAATTGCAATCAAATATGCTGTCTGAAGTCAGCCAGAGCCCCTGAGCCTGGCCAGAGAACCACCGTGCCACCTCCATGAAAGGATGGGAGCTGGGGTAAGGGTGGTTGGCTTCTTGCCCTCCTCACCACCTGTGCCTGAGGAGCCCAGAGTACTGTTTCCACTGTGGTCAGCCCAGCCTCTGGCTGCCTGCAGGAGGTGGGAGGCAAAGGGGAGGAAGGTGAGCCAGAGGCGGGGACCCCATTGCACACGCATGCAGACTTTCTCAGTGTTTGATTTTGTTTGTTCTCCTCCTTTGCTAAAATGATCATAGTTGTGCGAAGCTGCGCCAAGCCAGGGAGGTGGGACAGCACTACTGGACTGCAGCCCTCTGCTCCTCAGGCGTCCTGGGCCCAGCCTACTTCTGTATTTGGAACAGGAAGAGCCGCAGGTTAATGTTCTTGGCAGCCAGCAGCTTGTTGCACTCCACAGAGTCGATGATGGGCAGCGGCACATAGTCCGTCTCGTTGCTCTCATTGGTGAAGACAAAGTGGTAGATGACAGGACTGATCCTCACATCATCATATGGGCCCTTGAGCAGAAGAAAAGAACACTCCAGGGGCGCTGTGACCTTGCTCTTGAGGAGTAGCTGGAAGGAAAGTGTGCGCTTGCACGACAGGTTGGGGTTGCGCTCCGAGTCATTCACACGAGCCTTCAGGACCCATGTCTGGTTCAGTACTGTGAACCGTGGTGTTTCATAGTACAGGCGTGTGATGAAGTCATCAGTGCGATAAGGCCGGAACTGAACCTCTGTGGAGACAGACAGGGCCAGACAGCCAACTGTTAGTGCTGGGGAGGGCCAGGGGGTGGCGCCTTCCCCAACAGGCCAAGGACAGGCTTAGCCAGGGAGGAAGGCAACTTACCCAGATAGCGTGTTCTACTTGTCACAAGGTAAGTCAAACGCAATTATGGCAAATGGAAGTGCACATTTGGGGGAACAACTACAAACAGAATTAACACCAGTTAGCTGGAGAGTCCTGAGGCTGTGGGACATTAGGCCATGTGGCCCAGGAGTGGCCAACCCATAGAGCCACCCTCCTTACCCTCAGTCCCCTGTCCCCGAAGGGGCGGGGTAAGCAGACACACAGACAGGATACAGTTCTGAGAACAAGTGCACTTTATTGGTTCTGATACAAAGCTGCCAGAAAAGCCGGCAGGTGGGCAGATGGTATCTGGTCCTGCCCAAAGGGAGTGCCAAGTCCTTGATGTTGACTGTGATGTGGATTCTGCCCGGCTGTCTGTAGGGCTGTCGCTTAGCAGGCAGACCTGCCTTTGCAGTCCTGTGGCTGGCACGTTCTGCTGTGGATGTAAGGGCTCTTAGGCAGCCAGTCCTTCTTTTGGGGACAGGTCTTCCCACCCAGCCTCTGCTGTAGCCACATGGCCTGGCCCACCCAGACCCCACAGGCCATGAGATCAGCCAAGGCTACTCTTAATCAAGAGCCAGAGTTTTCTGCTGATGCAGGCCCCTGGGCCCTTTGCATCTCAGGCCTGTTTGGGCTAGTCTAGGCAGCATGGCATGACTGACTGTCCAGGACTGCCCTGGGTGCTCTGAGCTGGCCACCTGCCGTAGGCTGAGCAGCAGAGGGAATGAAGTTTCCCCGAGTTGCCCCAGTATCAGCAGGTGCTTCTTGTTCTCTGGTACAAGTTGTGGTCTGGCTCCTGCTCCCCGACATGTTCAAAGTTGGTGGCAGATGCCTGGGAGCCATGAGATCCAGTGAGCATAGGCCCAGTCCAGTCTACTCATATGTAGGCATCCACTCCCAGTTCTACAGTCTGAGCTGAGACCCTCAGCTTGTTCTGGAGCCCTGTCCAAGCTTCTTGCCAGTCTTAGGAGGCCATGTGGCCTTCAGTGAACATCTGCAGACAGGACCTGACTTGACGGAATGCTCTTCTTGTTCTGTGCTCCAAAGGTAAGGCCCCCAAGCTCCCAGACTGCCCCAAACATACCCAATTTTCTAGTTAGACCCAACCCCAAATCTGTAGATCCCCATACAGTGAGGGGGGGGATCATCTTGCCGGGGTGGTGGGCAGAGGCAGGGAGGACAGGTGGGAAGGACCTCTGTAAGAGCCATGCAGGTGCATCCCTCCTTCCGCTCAATCTCCAACCTCTTCTTCCCCAAGACATCTTCCTGCCCATCTGGAGCTTTCCCAGAGCTTGGCCATCGGCGCAGCCTGTGCCCACTGCCCAAAGCCTACTGCCTCCCTGGAGCCTCTAGCCCCAAACAGTACCTGTGTGGCATGCAGGGGAATGTGGGGTGCCTCACCTGTGTAGCCAATCTTCTCAAAGCTGAGCAGGCTGAAGATGCTGTTGTAGAGTTGCATCTCCTTGCGGTGGCTCTGATCCATCTCATCTAGGATCTCCATCAACTCATTGCCTGTCTTGGTTGGGTGAGCACATGCAGCTTCATGCACTGTCAGCTCATGAAAAGGGCCATGCCACGGGCAGCCAATACGCTTGTACTTGCACTGTGTCACCCTGGAAGGAGTTGAGAACAGTGGTCATCTCTGTGGCTGTGGCAAATAGCCATACCCAGAAGTATTTCATAGGCTACTTCTGTCCAACCACAAGCCCTTCCCTGTAAGACACAATGAATTTTGAGCGCAGCCACTCAGACCACACGTAGGTATGTATGTGAAAGAGGCAGGGAAACTGAAGGAGAGAGAACTCTACAGCTTTTAGCCAACATGCCTCCTGTGCCCAGTACTGATGTCTCTCTGCCTAGAGGTGAGTGGCTGTTGACCATGATACATAGCCTCATTCTAGGAAAGCTCTTGGTGCCAGGGCCTTGCCAGGCAAGTGGTTGTTTCTCTGTGCTGGGACTGGGTTGCCAAACAAAAGAGTTTCACTCAAACTTTCCAGAGCTTTCAAACTGATTCTGCTGTACTGGACTTTCTAAGGGTCTAGCCAATAGCCACAGAGAATTCTAGAGGATCACCATCTTATCCAGAGAGCTGTGTAGACCCTAACTGTCTTCTATGCAAAGGCATGCTCTCACCACCTGGGCCTACAGGGTTATTTCTGAGCTGTATATGTGGTCCCCAGGGCCCACATGTGTGATCACAAGGCCCCACCTTCACCATGGTTACCTGTCCTGGCATTCCTCTTTCTGGTGCCTCTCTAGGAGGGAGCGAGGGAACTGACGCAGACAGAAGCCACACTCTGAAGGCAGTTCGCTCACAGCTTTCTCCACGGCCAGGTTCCGGCAGCAGAGGCTCTTACTGATCTCACAACGACAGTTGGGACATGTGGCCTGCTCCTCCTTCAGCCGGGCATCTGCTAGTAGGTGGATAAAACAGCCAGCGCACATCAAGTGACCGTTAGTACACTGCGGAGAAGGAAAGGGAGGTGAAGCTCACAGTCCTGTGGATCCTTGCACGCACATGTGCCCACCCACACCTGCTGGGCTCAGCCAGAGCAGATGTCCTGAGGGGTTTTAGGTGAGGAGAGTAGAGGAGTACCCACTGGTTCCCAAGTCTTGCTGGTATCTAACAAACACTGAGAGCTGCTTGGAGGGTCATGCCAGGATAGAGCTAACTCTGGTTTTGTCAAGAGCAGGTCCTTATCATGTCATGAGGGTCCTGGCTACATCTAAAGCAGGCCTGGATGGAAACTGACTTGACCACATCTGGGCTTGGAACCTGGCTTTTCCAGTTTAACCATAAAAGCCTGGTTTTTTGCTTGACCTGGCAGATCCGGATACCTAGCAAGCAGCTGTTCATGTGGGTCATGGTTGCTGCTGAAGCAGGCATGTTTCCCTTGGCTTCCAAAAGGCTGTTCATGTGGGAACTAGGAGTGGCTTAGGTTGAGATCAACCCTGGCCCCTCCATAACCAGCCCTTGCTGATAACACAGGTGAGAACCAGCAGTTGCTAGCACCCAGGGAGGGCGACTACCTACTGGGGTTGCTCCAGAGCCAATGGCACAAAGCCTATGGCAGGCAGGAGGCTAAGTTGGCTCAGGCTGAAGTTAGGTGGGACCTGGTACTGAGTTGAGCTGATATAAACGGGATCAGCTGGAGCAGACCTGACAGCTGGAGGTCCTTGCTTACACAGACAAAGACTGTTAGAACCTGGGTCTCTTACAGAGTCAATATACTCTGGGTATCATTTGGTACCATAGAAAATACTGGGTGGGTCGGGTTGGGCATGTGGCTCATCGATAGAATGCCTACCTAGCAAGCTTGAGGTCCTGGGTTCAATCCTCAGTATTGAAAAAAGAAAATTCTAGAAACAAAAAAAAAAACTGGATGGGTTGAGAACCCTATACCAAGGTGGGCTTCTACTATGAGAAAGCCCTCTCGCACCATGAGGGACTCAGTGTTAAAGGGGAGACCAATAGCTGGGTATGGTGGTGCACACCTTTAATCCTAGCACTCGGGAGGCAAAGGTAGGCAGATCTCAGTGAGTTTAAGGCCGGTGTGGTCTACAGAGGGAGTTTCAGGACAGCCAGGTCTACACAGAGAAGCCCTGTCTTGAAAAACAAAAACAAAAGAGAGAGAAACCAGTATATCAGGCTACCATGCTGCGGCTGCTCTGTACAGTGTAGTGTGCATTAGGAAAGAGACATAAGTAGTTACTGCCTGGCCACTCCAGGAGGCTCCATCTGCATAACTGTCATGATTAATAAACCTTAGCTACCATCTTATCGCGTGCGTCAACAGGCTGTCTGATGGAACCTACATGCTGAAGACTGATGGTGACAGAAGTCTGATGCAGAACCCATGCCCACAGGGACACCATATATATCTATAGACAAACATAAGTTTGACTGAAAAATTAAAACATGCAACTATCAAGAGAGTAGCCTGGCTGATCTGGGCCTGGATGAAGAGGACATGGCAGGGGCCAGCCAGAATGTGGGCTATCTATAATGGAGATGGAACAACCCACTCTGCTGTGCCCACTCCAGGTCTGGAGCTGGGTATAGACATGACAGGCACTGACCAAGGGGCCAAGTCACAGTCCTCTTATACCCCATCTGCCTGGGGACTTCCTGGGACAGTGACTACTGTTCCTTCTGGAAGGCAGGAGCGAATACAACACAAAATTAAATGCTCATCTATTTCAGAGAGGCAATCTCAGGACACTCCCATAGAAGCGGGGTACGGCCACATAGCATCCTCCAAGAACTCTACCCAGAACTGGGAGTGGTATAAGCTCAGAACTCAGGAGGCAGAGGCAGGACTGTTTAAAGTAAGATTGGAATACAAAATGACTTCTGGGCTACATAAGACCCTCTCTTAAAAATAACAGAAGTTCACCCAGCAAGACACCGGCACTAAGATACCCAAGGACCTTGCAGCCCGACCAATCCATGTGCACAGCTTGAGCCACTTTCTGGCAAGCTGCCTGGACTTAGAGGAAGCTCTGGGCTTCTGCGCTCAGGTCTACAGTCACTTTTAGGGTTTACCAGCCTGAGTAGAGGGGCAACAGCATTTTTCCTGGCGGCAGCCTGCTCCTCTCAAGGTTTCTAAACCATGCAGTGGATAGCTGCTCTGAATCTCAGTCCAAGCAGACTTGGAAAGGAGTGCTGGGCCCCCTTAATGAGAGGGTAAGGCTGCCAATCCCATCACTGCTCTTCAGTATCACTCCTGCCCCCAACCGTGGAAGCCACCTAAGCCTGGGCTAGGTCTGGCCACAGGGCCTATTCTCCTGGGAATTCCAGACTCAAATCAACTCCATTCCACAGGAAAGTCGTACCTACCCTGCTTTCCTCTGGGTCCCTCTAGGACTCTGGGGAAGTTTGCAAGGTCTGGGAAAAGTGAGGTGCCACAGCCCTGACAGTTGGGCAGAACAAGTCCCAAGATGTCCTCTGGCATACTGGCCCAACCAAGGTTCAAGGCAAACCCTCTTAGAGCCCCTCACCAGCCATCTTAGGGACAATGTCTAGGTAAGCTGTATATAACGCACAAGTCTAGCACCTTCCCGTAACTTCCTGAGCAAGACCTAACTTCAAATATAGGTTCAGGGCAGCCACATTTAGCCTTAGCAGGAGAGACTGTGCCTATCCCCTAACTTGTGCCCACTGCCTATGCAGAAGCTTGACCACAGATGACTCCATAGTGGCAGTTTCAGTGCCTAGACTCCTCCAGAAACTGCTCCTGCAATGGCCAGGCCAGGCAAACTCTGGACTCACACCCAAGGAAACACTGTAGGTCTTTCCAGGCCCTCTGGTGACAGATACTGACTTGGCGCTCACTTTGAGCTCTGCCCTCATCCTATAGGTCACCAATAGCATGATCCTGTACTTATCATCTTCTCTCTGTTGGTCTCAGTTTCTTCCTGGGCACAGGATGAGGTAGGAGAGGCAATGTGTTGTAGTAAAGCTTGACACTCAGATTACAGCAGCCTCAGAACAAATGCCACCTTGGCAGTTATCCATGTCAAAGCCTAGAGAGCTCCATGGGGCTAAGGTTCTAGGCTCCTTTAAATTGTCCAGAAACAGTCATTTGCTGCTCCTATACTTGCAGGCCAGCACCCAGCCCTTCCATCTACTGACCTGCAGGCAATTCACATGTGCTCAGACTGTGCATCTATACAAGGGCAGGAGTGTTCGATTTGAGCTGGGCTCTCCTTTGGGTGAAAGGAGATAGGTGGAATAGCTATGCTCACAGAGAAGCCCTGCCCCTGAGCCATAAGCAGGTCTTAGAAATGGGTTCTCTACAACTTATAGTTGGTTACAAGTTCCTTGTGGTCAGTCAGTCTCTTTCAAGCCTAGAACATAGTCCTCACAAACATAGGGGGCCCAAAATATTATGATGGTACCCAGATCCATATGAACAGCCTATCCTCCTGCTCAGGGCATCATGTGCTGCTCAGTCACCTGGAGACTCTTTTTCTCTAGAGTCTTCCATGGTGTCTTGGATGCAGGTAAGGAATCAGGGCTAGTGGCACCTTGAGGACTGACCCAGTTTCTTGAACTTCCATAGCCAAGCATGGGCCTGAGCAGAACTGCTTCTTGTCCATGGGTACACAGCCAGTGCGACAAGACCGTTCTGCTGAGGCTAGAGTTGAAATTCTAGGTTAGCCATATTCATGATTCAGCTGGGCTCCAGCAAAGTGTAGTTTTTACTCAGAAATGAACACCGCTTAGATTTAAAAGTAACTCAAAATAAACTATCAACACACACACACACCCCAAAATCCAAAACAAAAAGCCTACAGTTCTTCCTTAGATCCTAAGCAGACCTATTCCTGCCTCAAAGAACAAATCAGGGGCCAGAGAGTTGGCTCAGCAATTAACAGCACCTGCGGTGGCTCACAGTCATCCATAAGTCCTGTTTCAGAGGATCTGAAGCATTGTTCTGAACTCTGTAGGCACCAGGCACATACATGGTGCATATATACACATGCGAGCAAAACACTCATGCACATAAAAATAAAGGAGGAAGAGGGTGAAGGAAGGATCATCATTGCCAGTGCCAGAGGATGCCAGGCCATGTGTGTGATAGCCCCAGACATCAATCAATCTCAGAAGGGGGCCTGGGCAGAGGTGGGACAAATGTTCTCTGGACTTCTTCTCAACCAGATATTCAGTCTCTCATACTCAGAGGCAAAGGCAAAAGCAGAATATATCAACTATCCTCTGGGGCAGAATAGGAAAGGAAGGGAATCCTTGTCAAAGGGAGAACAGAGGGCCCAAGATGGGTTTTGTTAGTCAGGCCAAAGAAGAAGCAAAGAGGCAGGCAGGGACGTGGAGAGGGCAGCTCAAGTGGAAAACATGTAAACTGGGCGGTGGTGGCGCATGCCTTTAATCCCAGCACTCGGGAGGCAGAGGCAGGTGGATCTCTGTGAGTTCGAGGCCAGCCTGATTCTACAAGAGCTAGTTCCAGGACAGGAACCAAAAGCTACGGAGAAACACTGTCTCGAAAATCAAAAAAAAAAAAAAAAAAAAAAAAAAAAAAAAAAAAGTGGAAAACATGTAGAACAATGAAACGGGTTCCTGGTCACAGAAAGTGTCTGGGCCCCTATCAGATAGAGCTGGATTCACTGTGTTCTATGTCAAAGGCCCACTTATGTGATCCCTCAACTCAAAGGTTTTTAAAGGGTGGGAAGAAGGAACAGTATCTTTGCCAGATGCAGCGCAAAGAGGCTGAGCCTGGTTGATACCCAAGGTCAAGGCTGGGTCTATCTTACAAAAGTCCATTCTGGGCTGTATGTGAAAGGCTGTAGCGGGAAAGCTAGGGGAAGTAGGTCAGGGCACAGGCTACAGTTGCAACTTCTCAGGCTGGGACTCACAGACAAGGCACTTACAATGTGTAGCTACTGACTGGTTACATTGCCCTCTGGCCTCATGAGTACATCCAGAACAGGGAGCCAGCACAAATTGCCTGTCCATCTGCCCAGGTTGGACTAGCCACAAGTTCTAATGTGGGTTTCCCTCCAGCCTTCATGCCACCTACCAGGCACCTGCCATAATGCCTGCCTGACTTTGGAAGGGCCCACCCTAGACTCGGGAAGGTGGCTACACATCTTGCTAGGCCAGTTGCCCAGGATATACCTAACACCCACACAGAGAACATCAAAGCATGCACCTGTGGTACCTGCTGCAGGACTTGACACAGGCCCCAGGGATAAGAGCTACTTGGTGGACGGCCTTGGTTAGACAACCTGAGCAAATTTTCTAGTCTGTGGTATGTCAGCGTATGAGTATGGGCCATGGGAATCTGCCCTGCAGGTTCTAAGGCTATCTTAGGACTAGGTGGATGAGCCCACATACATACCCTGCTCTTGTCCACTTCCCAGTGCTTCCCTGGCAGCACAGGTGGTATATGGATAATGCACTCTCAAGTTACCACACACCCAGCCAACTCCAGTGGCCCATGGGGTTTTCCCCACAGTCCAATGCCTGCCATAGCGTGGTTACCCACTTTCCACTCCAGCAGAGCATCCAAGTCAGCTCCCAGGATGCACAGCACGGATGGGGCCACCTGGAGCCATGTGTTCTGCTGAGGTCAGGCAAATATTGCCAGCGAAAGTTGAAGGTGGAAACTGGTCTAAAGAGATGGACAGCCCATCAACAAGGGTTAGACAAGAAGGCTAGCGGAAAACACAAGAGCTGAGCTCAGGCGGAGGTGGTGACCAGCAGTGGATCCTGGCCAGGGATACTGACACCTGTGCTCAAACCCTGAGAAGACTAGGGAAGAGCCCTGAAGAGGCCTGCCTGGCACCTTGGTGGGGACAACAACAGGACCCTCCAGAGCTGTACTGCACTGGCAGGAGACTCTGGCAACACTCGAAGATGCTAGGAAACATCCTTCCTTCCTCTCGCTGAACTCCCATTTTACAGATCTGTGTGCAGGCAAAGTTCCAACATTTGCCCCAAGGCTCTTCCAAAATCCCATATTCTAGAGAATTCTCCCAGCCGTTCCAGGTGACAGGGGACCGTCTTTGCTCTAGGTTATTTACCTACACAGAAAGGAGATGGGAAGGGGGCTAGTGGCAGAGCCTAGAGATCAATGTCAACGCCCACAGCGCCTCTGGGTCGGCAAGGGCACCCACCTTCAGTCTGGGACGGTGCCTGAGAAGGCAGTCCCTCCACTCAGGCCACTCTATTACACTTCCTCAGCAGCTCAAGCCAGAGCAATCCTAACACAGTGTAGACTGGTTTGAACCAGCCAGTCTCATTAGTTACTCTGGGCAGAAGCACAACGGTGGCTCTCTGTGTAGACCAGGAGCCAATATCATGTGGTCTATCACCATGCCAGGAACAACCAAGAAACCCCCGAGACCCTTGGGACTCCCTTCCACTGGCTCGTCTTGCTGGACTCTCACTCACTCCTAGGTAGGGAAGAGCTCTTTCACTAAGAAGGACCAAGACGCCAAGACAAGAAAAAAAGGTTGTGAGCAGGTTCTGATGGCTCCTAACACGAGAGGTGACTGGTGCTAGAACCCGCAGCTGTGGAAAGGCATAGCACCTAGGAGGTTGAGTGTCCGTTCAGGTCCCTGGAATCCCCCCCCCCCCCAACACACACCAACAACCTCAGGCCAAGACAAGAACGTAGAGATCCAAAAGGTAGGAAAATAGCTACACAGACTAGACCTATGCTGGCTCTCCGCCAGGGGCTCGCTCTAAAGCAAAGCAGGGAAAGAGGCCTCACCAGCCACTTTCCGCTACTCTAAGTACAAAGAAAGCTGACAGAAGCCGGGATCTGAGGGGCAAAGAGACCAGGGGAAGGTGGGCAGACACTTTTCACTGAACCGGAGGCCTGCTCTTTTACTTGCGAGAGGGTATGTTAGGCCCACAGACAACAGTACCCTGGGTCCTACTAGCGCACTTGGGTCTTCAGATGGGAAAGGCGAGGACAAAGTTCTATGCAAGGACAACCTTGGAGGCCAGTTTGGTATGCCTGAGTAGGAAAACTGGCTAGGTTGAGGCAGGAGAAAGTACCAAAAAAGCAGGTGGCTTCACCTAGGTTAGGCCTGGGAAGGGATGAGAGGCCCTTCCTTCCTCCAGTTCTTCAGAAGGACACCGGGCTTCACTGGGCAGAAAAGGAGGTATACTTTAGTAGTTCGGGCATGGAAGGATTTTTGGGGGGGGGGTGTGGCTGCCAGAATTGGAGCCCTATCTCCATTTAAGCAGCGTCTTCCTCCAGGGGGTTTAGAAGTAAGGGGCAGTGTTGATGAGGAGTAGGAATGGCGGGCGGGCACCTGTTCATAGCTCTCTGCGAGGTCAGCGGAATGGGAGCTGGATTATGTCAAGGGGGACACCCTGGAGGAAGCAGAAAGTGCAAACAAGGAATCTAAGGAGGAGAGCAGAAATTCAGACGGGGAAGTAAAGGGGACCGTAGAACACGGAAAATGAGATTCAGAGCAAGAAAAGGCAGGAGCCTCGAGACGGGAGCGGGGCTTCGCGGGCCTGTTAGGTGGATGTCTGGGTAGGAAAGGGTTCCCGGCCACCGGCCCCAGGCCTCCAGGCGACGCGGCGCCGTGCCGGGCCGGCGGCCCTACCTGGTACACGGAAGCCTTGGGCAGGTCCAGGCACACGGTGCAACACAGCACCGAGTACAGCCGCTCCTCCAGCTTCCCGCTGCCTGCTGCCACCGCCGCCGCCGCCGCCTCGGCCGCCTCGGCCGCCCGCAGCCGCTTCTTGGGCGGCGCGTCAGGGTCGCCGGCCGCCTCTTGCAGCTGCCGAGCGCCGGCCAGGCCCGCCTCGTCCGGGAGCCCGGGCCCCGCCGCCTCGCCCAGAGCCGCCGCAGCCGGCCCCGCGGCAGCCCCAGGCCCGGCCCCTACCCCGACCCCGGCCGGCACGGCACCCGCGGGCCCCGCAGCCGGGCCACCCCCGCCGGCCTCCTCGGCGCCGGACATCGCGTCCGGCCGGCCCGGCGGGCGGGTGCCGGCGCGCTCGCCGGCTGGAAGTTAGGGTCGCCGCGCGCCCCTGCCGGCTTCTCGCTGCCGCGGCGGCCCTGCAACCTGCCCGCTGCGCCGCTGCCTCAGTGGGCCTGGCCCGCGCGTCGGCCCGTAGCCGTCCCGGCCACCAACCCCGGCGCGGCCGCCATCTTTGTTTTCGCTGCGGACCCCCCCCCCAACGCCACCGCCCCCTCGTCCTCCTGGTCACGTGTGCTCAGCGCAAACCAATGGTAGCGCCGCGAGGGGCTAGACGATGAGGTGGCTACCGCCAATGGACGAGCGAGAAGGCCGGAGGGCCCGCCCACTGTAGAAGGTGAACAGAAGGAGGTGGGGTCCAGGAGGCTGGAGGGGCGAGGGGTGACGGGGGCTGAGGGGAGGGATGCGTCCCTGGAAAGGTACCACCCGCTCTGGGGTCGGGAAAAACATCGAGACTTTTACTCCTTGAGAGTGCAAAGCGCCCCTAGACACCCATGTCGGGGTGTGCCTGTGCCATTGTCCACCGAAATTCGGCCTTCCGTGCGCCAGGCTCTGGCCTAGCTGCCTAGAGTGGAAGGGCACGAACTGGAAAAACCCACTGACGACCACTCTTGCGCGACGGGATAAACGTCGACAAGACACCAAGTACCGGAACAGAAGGACTGGGTACACTCTAACCCACCCCTCGGCCCAGCCCCGTAATTGGAGGCTGAAGAAGGGTCCATAGAGGAAAGTGTGGTTAAGTTCTAAGACATGACTTGTACACACAAGAGGGTGGCAAACAGGTAGTAAGCAAATCAGTCCACAGAAGGGATGTGCAGTTCCCGGGAATCGCTGACGTACAGCCCGCTTCTGCCCTTCACTGCGGCAGCCACCAGCTTGTGAAGGTCACTGCCCCAGAGGGCCACCTGCCAGGTCCACCAAGGATATATGCAAATCTACCATGTCCCAGGAAACCAAGACCCAAAAACTGCTGTGTCTTTTCAGCATGGAGTCTTTCTCTTTTCTTTCTTTCTTTCTTTCTTTCTTTCTTTCTTTCTTTCTTTCTTTCTTTCTTTCTTTCTTTCTTTCTTTTGATACAGGGTCTCACTGTATGTTAACACTGGCCATTCTGGAACTCAACTTCTGGAAGCCAGTCTGGCCCAGAACTCACAGACATGCGCTTGTCTCTGCCTCCCAACTGGTATTAAAGGCCTGCACCACCACGCCCAGCACACTGCGGTTCTCTTGGCAAGTCTGCCAGAATGCCAAGGTGAATAATGCCTTCTATTAGTTAAAGCACATTGCCCCTTCTTTACTCGGGGAAATCAGCTGATACCCTAGAGGCCTGAGGAAGCTAGCTCAAGAATAAGCAGATTCCATACTCCTGTACATTCCTAAGGTTTATTGGAAATCTGGCCTCTGACTCACAACCGTGTTCCTCCCAGAATCAGGCCCCAAGTGTGCTGAAGACTTGTTGCATTCTGGTTTAGGCACGCTTCCACACATGCATGACCAGAGAAGGGCAAGCACCCAGGCTCTGCCCCTGATTGGTCAAAGTACAGCAGGCTCCCTTCAAGAGGGAGGCAGGCCTGCCCCTAAGGGAGAGGCTCTAGATGTAGGCCAGTAGGAGGGAAAGCAGTACCTGGAACAGAAGCCCTGCCTTGCTGTCAGCCCCACGGTCTCACTCCCACTGTAGACGCTGTGTGTGCAGGGCCCGGCAATAGGCCCAACTGCCTGCAGCCAGGGCCCAACGACAGACATCCTCCTTTGGCAGCAACAGCAGCCTGTCCACTTCCAGACGGCTCAGGAGACCTGCCACGCCCAGCATGGCACCCCCCCACATCCCGTAAGTGTTGGCAGTGAAAACAGCTACGATAAGGATGGTCACTGCCACCACCAGCAGTACCGCCTGCCCAGCCACAGAGCACCCTTCAGGTCCAAGGTGGTCACCAGCCACTGCCAACACCATGCCTCCTCCCAGAAGCAGATTGGCAGAGGAGCGGTCCCCATTCACCCAGTGAAAATCGAAGGCCAGGAGAGGCAGACCGATGACTGTGGCAACCCAAGCTCCAGCGAGACAGTCTTCATGTGTGCTCAGCCCCGGGGCCAACATCGTGATGGCAGCGAAGGTCTGCAGCAGGAAGCCAGCAGCAGCTCCTCGACTGGACTGTCGACACGGGGAAGACAGACATGTTAAGGAGCCAGGAGCCACCCTTCTAAAAAGGAAAGAGTTTGAGGCTGTCGAGGAGACCGAGGTTCATATATGCCTCCCACCACCCTCTTTTAGTGCAGGGATCTTTCTACATAGTCTGGGAAAGAGGGACTATTCACCTGTACAGAGCTCACCGCTGCGTGCAGAGACACCGCTGCCAGCACCAGGTGGGACAGGACGGTACTCCATTCGCTCCTGAATTTGGAGACCATGGCACCTTGAACAGCAGTGAGTTTGAGGAGATCGGAAAGGGGGCTTCAGATTTGGAGAGAAGAAAGCACAGAGGCTGGCGACTTGGAGTCCTTAGTGCCGCTCTTCAGGAATCTCAAGCTCCAGAGAGACCTGTGAGTAGACATCAGGATAGATTCAGCCCCAAACTTCTTGGAGCTCTGAGGTCACTGGACTCACCTGCAGGGAAAAAAGACTAATTTACTGGGGAAGGGGAGTGGGAGTGGAATCCTGGCGCCCAAGCGAGGTACTCGGAACAGCAAGATGCGCAGTCCCGTGCTGTGGCCGGGACCGAGTCCTTAGCGCTTGGAGAGAAACGGTCTTCCACGTCCGGGCAGGGAGGGAGCGGCAGCACAGGCCAGCCCGAGACAGCGGGCAGCACCTGGCTACACCGAGCCGACGGCCGGAACCTGCCCACAACAGTCAGCCCCGCCTCCTAGCCCGCCCTCCCGCGGCGCTGACCCGAGCAGCCCGCTTACCTCCACCAACGAGAGGAGCTCCGGCTAGAGCGGCGGGGCGGGGCCTGCGGAAGGCCGAAGGAGGCTCTGGAGGGGTGGGGCTGGGAGGGTGGAGGTCACTACCAGAAGATGTTCACTACAGGTTTGTGTTCTACACAGGGTCTCTCTGTGTAGCCCTAAGCAGTCCTGGAACTTGCTGTAGAGACCAAGCTGGCCTCCGACTCACAGAGATCCGCCTGCCTCTGCCTCCCGAGTGCGGGGAGTTAAGGTGTGCGCATAGGCTTCAGGACAGGTTTGCTCGTGCACGGGGCTGGTGAAGGATCGGAGGCGGGGATGTAGGCGGGGCTTCCGAAGAGTAGGTTCTGACTGAGAGGAGAGAGGCGGCGCTTCGAGGGGTCTGGGCGGAGCCGCGAGGCGGGGCAAGATGAGGCTTCGAAGGAGGGTTGCTTGGCTGTGGGCGGGGCGAGGTGATGCTCGAGGGGGAGGTCTGGGCGGGACGGGGTCGGGCTCCGGGGGAGGGGTGGGATCTGGGCTGGGCTACCGGAGGAGGAGAGGTTGTACACCTGTGCACCGAAAGCTGTTGCAAGCGTACGCGCGTACCTTGGTGGGGGTCTCCACGCAGTGCGGGCCAGGATTCCCAAAAGACGCTAGACAGCCGTTAGACCTCTGTGCGCCCACTATTTTGCGAAATAGGGATTGAAAAACACTTGACAGGGTCTTAAGGAGAGGTTTTGCAGTTCCCCGCGGTCGCCCGTCAGTGTGCACCCTCCGCCCGCGGAAGATCGTCCGTGGGGGCGGCCGCCGCGAGCATGCGCATGGGCACTGCGGCGGGCGGGTGCGGAGTCCTGGTGCGGGGACGCGGGGCGGCGCGAAGCGGTGCTCTCTGCCGCCCCGCGCCCCCATGTACGCCTTTTACTCTCTGCTCATCTACATCTTCTACAGTCTTTTTCGCAGGGATGGCGGGACCGCGGCGGCCGCGGACCCCAACGACCCCACCCAGGTGAGCGGAGTGGGCCTGCATCGCGGTTGGTTACCACCATCACTCTGAGATCTGGTCGTGGCCGACCTGTGTAGCTTATGTCCTTAGGCACCAGCGCTAGGAAATAGGGCTGTTCCTAGACCAGTTTTTTTCTCTATCTGGGTGTTGGGGTCATAAACATCAGCTCAAAACCCTTAGCCCATATCAGAAGGGAAAGCCCCACATGCTGCCAGCACCCTCACTGACACCCCATACTCTCTTCCCAGAGGAGCAGTGGTAAACCTAGGGGTCGTCGCCGCCCCGATCAGTTCACATCAGAGCTCTGGACCGAGCTGAATAGCCTGGCGGGTAGGTGCATGCAGAGGAGCTGCTGGGGAAGGGTATTGAGGGAGCCCTGAAGTTGGGGTACTGAGAGAGAAAGATTAGCCTCCAACTAGTGTTATGGAATGCCTCTTCCTTCCACTACTTGGCCTCGAAGGCTGCTCCAAATCTGAGGATGGTCAGAAAGGAGCCGAAGGTGGAGCACCTGAGGTGTCTCTGGAAGAGGCACTTATGCGCCTTGCTGAGTTCCTTTCCCTCCAGTTGGGGGCAGAAGAGAGCTGTGGGACGCCTCCTGACCCGGGCAAGGTGAGCACTGGGCTCCAGCCTTTCCCCAGCTTCTGTGCTTCTCACATCCCCGACTCTTCTGCTGATTCTTACTTCCTGCACAGCCTGGTGAGGTCCCCCCGCTGTTGACAGTGACAAGTCAGCTCTTGGCCCTTCTGGCATGGACACGGAGTCCCAGGGGGAGGCAGGCCCTGCTCCAGGGGACACAGTCAGCCTGTCCAGTGCAGTCTTCCACTCTAGATGGTTTGTAAAGGGTACCACCGTTTGTGGAGGGAGCTGGGTCTATCAGAATCGGCCCTGCTCTCTAGGTCAGACATTTCTGTACTTGTAACTGGTCTCACTGTGGCTCCTTAGGGTCCTTGTCACAAGAAGAAAGCTCCTCTCAGCCCACTCCCATCCTGGATGAGGTACCAGGGGATGAAACCCAGGAACTGCAGCCTCCCCAGCTGGAGGAGGAACAGAGAGCTTGGCAGCGGCTGGAACAGCTTATTCTTGGACAGGTAAGAGAATCAGGAGCAGTGGGGACTGGGTGGGTGCGAGACCCAAAAAGGAATGGCATCCTGTCCCTGACTCCTCCGCAGCTGGAAGAGCTGAGACAGCAGCTGGAGCAGCAGGAAGAAGAGCTGAGCAGGCTGCGCCTGGGAGTGGTGAGGCTATTGGGGTGGGCTCAGGAGACAGACTGAGAAGTCAAGGGAATGCCAGGTGCATCCTGATGGCATCCCTCTCTGTCAGGGGGCGACAGATTCAGAGAAAAGAGTTCAGCATCTCACACTGGAGAATGAAGCCTTGAAACAGAGTTTGAGCCTTACTCGGGAGCTCCTGCTGCACTGGGGCCCTGGTCCCCTCTCCAGAGCTCCACAGGTACTCCGCTGTTTGGCTGCGTGGTGTCTGCAGTTCAGGCTCCTGTATGCCTGGTATCCAGCCACAGTACTTAAACCTCCTCAGGACTTTGTGTGTGCTTTAGTAGGGGGCCATCTCTAACTACGGAGAAACTCCGGGACAGTCTTTGTAGGTAGCTGCATCAGTGAGGCTGATGCTCATAGAAGACACCCCCCACCCCATTCTTGGTCTCTTTGAGTAACCTTAGGAGAACAGAGAGTCTGGGACAGGGAGCCCTGCATGGAGTCGGTTACCATGGCTTTCGTCCTTCTTGCCACTCTTGATCTGGCCTTTCTGTCTGTGAAATGAAGCTATAGGAAACCCTTTCCAGAGTTTCCATTTGGCTCCCACTCTTCTATAGGAGGAGGCAGGGGCTCTGTTGGAGCTGCAGGGACAGCTTCAAGAAGCCCAAGACACCACAGAAGCCCTCCGAGTCCAGGTGGGCTAGGGGACCTAGGGATAAGGGGGGCTGTGATGCTGGGAGGTGACATCTGGGGCAGGGCCTGGTGCCTGTTTCCTCAGTGACTGAAGTGGGGTTGGGAGGGACAGCTGGGAGTCCAGGAGATGCAGCTGCAGGGCCTGCGAGGGGCCCTCCAGCAGCTCCAGCAGGAGACAGAACAGAACTGCAGACAGGAGCTGCAG